GTAGTGCTATGGGAGAATATACATTGTAAAGATTTGTTACTTGTATTTCCTTAATAAAATGCTTATTGACCAGTAGCCAGGCAGGAAGTGTAAGTGGGGCAACCAGACTAGGAGAATTCTGGGAAGAAGAAAGGCAGAGATGCAGTTGCCTCACTGACAAAAGGTACCAAACCAAGTGGCTAAACATAGACAATAATTATGGGTTAATTTAAGTTGTAAGAGCTAGTTAATAACAAGCCTGAGCTAATAGGCCAAACAGTTTATAATTGATACAACCTCTGTGTGTTTCTTTGGGACTGTACATCTGCAGGACAGGGTGGGACAGAAACTTCTGTCTATACTGTAATATTTAAATATCCAACAACTTTCAAGTACATAAAAACCATGAAAGGACCATGATGAAAAAAATCCAGATTTCTCTGGCTTTATTTAAAAGGAATTTAATCCACTTGATGCAATGCCCAGAAAAATTCTATTTAGAAGTTACATCTCAAATGACTTCTGGACCTAACTCAGGAAGGATTGCCAGGCCACTGTGAATTATCCTCTCTGCAACACCTTCCTTAGCTGTTTGTTTCTAAATTCAAAGGGACATTTTAGTGACTATTAGTGAGAAAAATAGCTGGGTCCCTTCTGCTCATACTTGCATCCTGATTAAGTCAGTGAGCGTTTGTTAACTGAAAAAAAGCATACAAGCAGGAAAGGAATTGATTGAGACAGAACTAAGCACCAATAAAGCACATTGAATTGATTTAATTGATTCTGACGCTCTTTCCTCTAAGTCCATGCGTTGACAGCAAACACTGGTGATATTTTGTGCTGTAACAAATAAAGCTTACCTGAAGATCAGAGTGCAGAACTAGTCATGCTAGTTAGCTATAGAGGCCAGGCAGTGGCGGCACACACCTTTAATTCCAGCACTTAGGAGACAGAGGTATATAAATCTCTGTGAGTTCAAGGGAACCCTAGTCTATATGAGATAAATCCAGTCTCAAAGAGAAAGAGAGTCGGGCGGTGTTGGCTCACAACTTTAATCCCAGTAATTGGGAGTCACATGCTTTTAACCCCAATACTAGGGAGGTGGAAACAGGAAGGGATATGGCTGGATGGAGAGAGGAATATAAGGTGGGAGGAGTCAAGGGCTCACCATATTCAGTCTGGGAACTTACAGAGAGACAGGATACCCCATTCAATCTGAGCATTTCATAGAGGTAAGAACTAGTAGCTGGCTGCTCTGCTTCTCTGATCTTCATCTTTCACCCCCTAATATCTGACTCTGGGTTTTATTAAGATCAATTAGAATTTGCATTTGAGGACTGAAAATGAAGGTGACTTTGTAGAATACCAGGAGCCATTTAATAGCACATACTTAGGGCTGGGGGAAAAGCCTCTCAAAAGATGAAAAATGGTTGGTCCCAGGAAACAATTAACCATTGTCAATCTATTTCAAATCTTACCCTACTTATTTCCTAATTACTCTCATCAATATCTTATGCTTTTCCTAACTTGCCATAAGCAACACAAACCTATGGTACAGAATGAGGAACATGTTTGCTTGGTGTGCACACATATCAAACCTCGTTAGCCTGCCCTAGCATTCTCTTCTCATGAAATGGGACCTATAACCAACCACCTTTTCTAGTTACCAGTTACTCGTCAAGAAGGGTCTACAATGCATCATCTCAATATTCTCTTTCACATATGACTGAGAGCTGTCTCCTCCCATTTTATAATCCACTCTAGTGCTGGGATTAAAGATGTGTACCACTACTGCCCGGTTTCTATGGCAAACTAGTGTGGCTACTGGGATTAAAGGTGTGTGTCTGGTATGTAAGGCTGACCAGGGAGGCTGTTTTAGTTTCTGATCTTCAGGCAAGCTTTATTTATTGAAGCAAAAATGAAACATCACTACAAGTCAATGATGAATTTTATTCAGGATCCTAGGCATTATGAAGTATAATTCATCTTTTTATTCTTCATAAATCTCATTTTTCTGTCTTTTCTTCTTTGGCTTTGAAGTTGAAAGCAAGGATTGAAATATCTAAAACATTATCATGTCACGAGACCGGTATGCTATGACATGGAGGAACACTCACTGTAAAGCCCTGTCACTGGCTGCACTATTGTGTATATCACTCAATTCAATGCTTTCACGGTCTTGAGAACACAAGCCTTAGCATCTCCGAGAGAACTGACCAAGTGTGAGTTTCTAATGTGTGATGTTACTGAAACCAGAGAAGCAGACTCATCTTATGATGCGGCAGTTTGTGCGATTCTGGCTTCACATTTTGCAAGAATGAGTGGGAAATATGAGTCAAACATCTAAAAGCCTACCCACTCTCTGTCCCAATATGTTTAAGTATTTTATAAGAATATTTGCAACAGAATTCCTCAGAATACAAAAAAATGTGGGAAAAACCCAAATTACTAATATTACAATGTTATCAAAGAAATAACACAAATATTATCAAAAGTTATTTTAAAAAATCTTTAAATGGAAATTTATTTAGATGAAAAATAATATTTGCAGTACTAAGGGACAAGGCAGATATACAAGTATATCATATGACCCATATTTTATATGATTTTTACTAGATGATATTTACAAAAAAATTATGATGAGTATATTAGATGGTTAAGATTACACTTCAGTTTTTATTGTCTTTTTTCTCCTCATTTTTGGCAAGTTAAATTTTTGTGCCTTAAATAACTGCTTTTATACAATCAGAAAAAGACTGTATTAGTGAGGCTGTGATAAATAAAAAAAACAAAATACCAAGGACCTGCATTTAAATTTCATGAAGACTTTATAGTCCTTTCGAGAAATAAGGAGGCTGAAGGCCTAATAAATACTGAAAATACATTAATAGACAAGAGACTCTATATTAGAAAATATTACTTCTCACTAAATTGCTCTAAAAAATTATATCAAGTCTAGCCAAGATCAAAGCAAATCTGTGCATTTGCGAAAGTGTGTAAGTGTACCTGTGTCAGTGTTGACAAGATAGCACTATAAGCTGTATCAGAAGTATGAAAATCAGGCCAACATTATGGCCTCATGGGTAAAGCAGCTTCCTGCCAAGCCTGAAGACCTGAACTCCATCCCTGCAAGCCCAGTGGTAAGAGGAGGAGTCTGACCTCTGAAAGCTGCCCTCTGACCTTCACATGCAAGCTCACCTGTGCCTACATGTATGTGCAAATGTAAAAATAAATTTTAGTTAGGGTATTCTTTTTAGGTTCAGCAATCTAAAATAATTACTAACAATATAGTTACAGATGACGGAAGGTTGGACACCCACGAAGCCGTTAGTGAAGAAGACAAAACAGCGGCTCACTTTATTAGATATCAGGATTCATTCGAAAGCAGTTAAGTGGTTTTAGTAGCGTTAGTGAGCAAAACAGCTTAACATTCACATGTCCTTCCTTCTCACTGCAGCCCCAAACTAATTCCAAATGAGTACGGATCCAAGTGGATAGGTCACATTATGACTTTCGGGGATTACAACACTAAAGGATGTCTTTATGAACTTGCTGGAGGTAGAGATTTTCTAAACAAAGTACAAAGAAAAATACAAACCATAAAAGAAAAAGGTGATGCTGAACTAAGCCTAAATTAAGGTCAGATTGTGAAATGGTATCATTAAGGCAGAGAGAAGGAAAGTCACAGAATTCATTACGATGCTTGCTGCATCGATATCCCTAATAGACTCACTTCCAGAACACATAAACTTCCAAAGACATTCAGAAATAAAAGGAAACAAATCAGTTAATATAATATTTTAAAGTCATCAAACTCCTCAAAAGTCATCTTTAGTAAGCTCACAAGTTCAAATGCCAACTGAAACCAGCTCAAATATTTCACAGCCACAAACAGATGAAGTAAAAGCAAGCAAGTAAACAGACAACATGGAATGCTGCAAGGGTTAGTGACATCATGGACTAGGACTCCTCCATAGGGAATATATGTTGATAGAAGATGTCATCTTCTCCCCCTTCTCCTCCTCTTCCTCCTCCTCCCTCTTCTCCTCTGCTTATAAAGCCCAGGCCAGAGACAATTTCACTCTTCATGTACCCTGAAGAACGAATTCTTATCAGCATAAAGCATAAATGAATGTTTCTGCAAGATTATAGTAGCCTCAAATTGAAAGTAACTCAAACACCCACCAGAAGCAGAACCAACACACAAATTCAATGTTTTCATACAGCATCTGGAAGATGGAGCTGCATACAGCATGGAGGATGATTTTCCTGAATGGGTCAATAAACTGACATGTGCTGCATTAAACAATTTTATAAAGCTAAAATATTGTTACATAGTTTTATAATTCTTGGAAGGGGCAGAAATGTAGTGATAATATTTTATTTCTTTATTTAGAGGTTAGACGTATGACAAGTTCACTTGTTTAAAAAAACAACTTAGTAAGTCAAATACTTGTATGTGAATTGTATATATTAGCTGAATTTATATGTTAAGAAAAGGTAAATAAATCATTAGAATGCACACATACACCTGTAGCACGATTAATAAAAACCCAGAGACAGAAATTGGTGTTTAACTTGAAAGTCGAAAAGCAAAACAGTCACTGGCTCTTACCTCTACCTCAGTCTGAAATGGCAATTCTGTCTCCAGGAATCTCAGAATGAGACTGTGTGTGAAAGCTGTCTCCTCCCATTTTATATTCCTCTCTGTTGATGGGATTAAAAGCGTGCACCACTACCGCCCAGTTTCTATGTCAAACTAGTGTGGCTTCTGGGGTTAAAGGTGTGTGTCGCCACTGCCTTGTCTGTAAGACTGATCAGTGCTGCTGTTTAATCTCTGAATTTCAGGCAAGCTTTATATATTAAAATACCAATGAAATATCACTACCTACAGTTAACAGGTAGAAGGGTGAATTAGAATGTGATAAATTTCTTTTTCCAGTGTGAGGCAAATGAGGTTGTCATAAAACTGTATGTGGCTTCAAACTTCTACCGATGAAACCTGAGAACCGTAATGGGAAGCGGGTGTCAAATGTGTTTTTTATTTGAGATTCCTGATGTTTGAGGTGGCTCTTCCAATAAGTATTTCAACTGTCCCACCCTGGTGGCTGGCTATCTGACCGTGCTGTCAAGACCTCAGCTTTCTCCGTGACTCCAGCTTGCCTCAAACACACAGCATGTGAGCCCAAGTGTCTGGGTTGGTTATCTTTCAAAACGGTCCTGGATCTCCATGTCTCAGTTCTTGATCCATGCCAGCCATCCTTGATAAGCTTCCAGCCTGGATTGATGAAATAAAATCACTGATAGAAAATAAAAATATTAAAGAAGACTTATTTTATAAATAGCAATGGATTTTTGTCTCCATTCTGGCTTTTATAAAACAGCCAGGACAATAACAAAGAACTATGTCTACCACAGAGGGGAAATAGCAACGTAAAAGTTTAAGTTGAAATGTCAAAAATGCCAGGAAGTTTTTTTAAAACTTGGCATTTACACACACACATGCACAAAAATATTAAAGGAATTTTCTAAACCACATAGCTCTCAACCTAAATTCGAGACCCAGAAAAATGTGTCTATTATATATTCACAAAATAACAATGTAAATGAAGTCACTAATTGCATTTTTCAGGGCAGACATGGACTGTTGTGAAGTTCACTATCAAACTTTTGTCCACAACAGTTAGTTACTATTCTGTTCTAGGTGGATAATACTGTAGAAAAATACAGACTTTGTATAAGAAGATATAAGATATAAGAAGATATATATTTAGATAGAACTTAGACATTTAGGCTGAATAGTCTAGCTTTAAATTTTTTACTTAAAACAATTTGAAAGAATTTGGAAGTGAGACAACTCATGTTCTTGGGTAGATTTGGCTCAGAGATACCATTCATTGGTGATCTCTCCCAAGTGGCATATTCCATTTAAAAAAACAAAACTGCAGAGGAGCATTTCTGATGGAAATTAACTGCAGATCCCAGTGGAGCACTAAGTCTAAGGCCAACCAACCAAGAAGTTAACTAGTTTTCTCGATTTAGAGAGCAAGCTCAGATACACATACGGATCTTTTTATACCTCTGTGTAAGAAGCGTTTACCCAAAGAACTGGTGTCCAGGTGCATTTCCGTTTGGTTCCACAAGAATGATTACTTAATCCTCTTCGGTAGCCCGCCAAATGCATGCAAACTCCAAGCCAGAAAAAGCTGTTGCCTTGATCACAGCCCTCCTGGATTTAAGACTCAGCCTCTATGGCCCTTCTCTAGGAAAGCATTTTGGCAGCTGTTTGAACAGGAATTATTTGAGGGCTAGCTGTGAGATCCAGAGGGAAATTAAAAGTCTGTGAAGGCTGGCCTTTAAACAAAGGTCTTGTCGTTGCTTAATTCACATTAAAGGCAGTGAATCATAAGGAAGGGAAAAAAAGCCTTATCAGACAGATGGGCTAAATAAATCAAATAATAGACTTGGATTTAGAAGTGGAAACAGAAGCTAGGGTTGTAATCCAAGTAACAAGGACCTCAAAATTCCCTCTTTACCTAAGTGGCTCCACTATTATTCTTCCAGTTTGCCTTGTTTTAAAGGAAAATAGCACCAAACATAAAACACAAACCATCCCAATAACAATAATAAATATTAATCACTTGAGCATTTTTCTTCTCTTTCTCCACTGCTTTTTGTTGTTGCTGCTGCTGTTGCTGTCGCTACCATCTCTGGGTTTCTAGTTTTTCCTCGAATATACAGACCAAACTTTAATAAATATTTTCTTCTTCACAGAGTCACTCAGGAGCCCAAACATCCATTGTTTTTAATGACAGCAATTGCCCTTTGTACAAGCAGCTCTCCGAGCTACTCAGGGGCTTCCCAGCAAATCTGAAGCTGCCGGCTCAAGCCATGTTGAATAGAGCGCCGGCGTGGATCCTTTCCTGGAACCAGACTGCGTCTTTCTGAACTCTGTTTACAGAATTCAATTTATTTTCCTTTCAGTTCCAACAGAGCTGGTGACAAAGAAAAACGAGCACATTCTTTAGAAATCCAGAGGTCAAGATTACAGGACAAAAGGGCCCGACAGTTTACTCCTTCTTATCAACATTTTGTACAGAAGACCAAAAAAGACTGTTTAATTTCCCTGAAATTAGGTAGCCAAAATTGTAACTAATTCTGGGGGTGGTAAGACAAACTTGGATGGAACTTTATTTGTGTTAACGGAAAGGAAAGGACACACTGGGACTCACTTTCCCGCATGCTTCTGGAACTTCCCAAGCGCCTTTCTTTTCCCTATAGCTGCTTGTCTGGCCGCATGCCTGCAGAAGTATACATGTAAAAGTGATGGTTTCGTGAGAAGATCAGGTGGTCTCTGCCTCCTCCATTTCTCAACTCTGATAGTCTCCGCACAGAGAACATCTCTGGAAATCACCCAGAATTGCGAAAAGGCTCTGGTTTTGGCATGACACTTCTAGCTGGATAAATAGATCCCAATCGCCTCACCAAATAATTTTCTTGTCGCGGAAATGAGGATAAATATCCACTCCACATGGCTGGAATAAGGATTAAATTAAGTGAGGGAAAGGAATGGTACATTGTACAAAATAAGTTCCCAGTCAATGAAAGATAATTTGAATTCCTAAGACAATAGTATCTCGAATTGATTACAAACCTGTTTGCCAAACTTTAAGACCCAGAGAAATTGAATTATCACTAAATGTCTCTATATTAGGCTGAAAAGGTCATAGTAGTAGAAACCACTGATATTATTTCCAAAGCATACACAGTCACGTCGTAGGGATGTTTCCAAAGGAACCTATGTACACTTTTATCTCACAAAGGGATACAGAAAAGGAAAATTCATTTCAAATTAAATTATACAGGAAGTTAGGTTACTAAAATTGGACAATTTTTCAATTGAAAACAGTCTTGATTTTTAAAAATCGAAACATTTAGAATCTGAAAAATGTTATGTTTTAATATTCACGGTAGTCTTTTAGCTGTCGTGTGGGCGAAGTACGAGGATTCTGGCCTAGTTCCATTCTTAGGGTCATGAGACATTTGTTAAGCAAGATGAAGCTTACTCTCTGTTGGTGAATTGACAGCTTCCACTTTTTCTGAGAAAGGATAGGAAAATGTACACGTGTGCTTTTATTCTTTTGCTGTTGATGTAAAAACTACATGTAGAAGGGCACACACACCATCAATATACAAACCCCTAAGTTTTCCCAAGCTGCCACACCCATGGAGCCAGCACTCCTTCAGCAGCTGTTCTCAGTCTGTGGCTTGTGACCCCTTTATGGGTCAAACGACGCTGTCACGGAGTCACATTTACGATCCTTTCACTGGGGCCGCATATCAGATATCCTGCCTATCAGATATTTACATTATGATACATAACAGTAGCAAAATTACAGTTATAAAATAGCAATGAAAATAATTTTATGGTTGGGGGGCGTCACCGCAACATGAGGAACTGTATTACAGGGTTGCAGCATTAGGAAGTGAAAACCGCTGCCTTTAAAGAAAAAAATTGGATATCCCTTCTCACAATCCTCATATACCTGCTTCTGTCACCTCCTATTTGAGTCAGTGGGATTTATCAGAGTGCCTTACAGGCTGTGGCCCAGCTAGTCCGACAATGACTGTCAGCAAAAGGTCCAAGAATCCTGTAGTTGTTAGTCCACAAGGCTGGATGTCTTAACTGGTCATCGGCATATGTAAGAATCCTAGAGAAATAGGCTTGAGCAATCAAAGAGAGAGCAAACTTCCTTTTCCCATTTTCTTTATATATGCCACGAGCAAAAGGTGTGGCCCAGATTAAAGGAGGATCTTACCATTTCAAAAAATCTGGATTAAATGTGTGTCTTCCAACCCCAATGATCCAGATTAGAAATGATCAACTGATTTAATTAAGAAAAGAAATCCCTGGGCTGGAGAGATGGCTCAGAGGTTAAGAGCACTGACTGATCTTCCAGAAGTCCTGAGTTCATTTCCCAGCACCCACATAGTGGCTCACAACCATCTGTAATGAGATATGATACCCGCTTCTGGTGTGCAGGCTTACATGCAGGTAGACCACTGTATACATAAATAAATCTTAAAAAAAGAAAAGAAAAAAAGAAAAGAAAAGAAATCCCGTACGGGTGTATTTAACCATTTGGGTTTTGGCTAATTACAGATGTAGTCAGGTTGACAACTATGATAGCCATCACAAGACCACCCCTTCCCACCTGCTCCACCTTCAACAGATCTGCTTTCTCCTTCACTGGCGGCGTCACCTTCCATTCAATATCGGCAGTTGGGTCTCTGGCAGGGCTACCCACTTCTATCCGTTCCCCTGGTTGGGAAGCCTCATTTCTCGAACACACCGCTCTCTCCTTGCCTACTGGCTTTTCTCAAAGTCCTGGTCCCAGGTGACTGTGTCTCTCTCGGGCTCAGAGCCCTAGGCCCCTATTCTTGCACAACAACGTACTGAAAGAAACAGCTTGTGCCCACTCAGTCTGATCCTCCCTGAGTTCCCGGAACACTGAGGGTTGCAGACCTTTGGGTCTTCTCTGCCTCACTCATGGGAACTGCGTCACTTTCTTGATCCCATTGCGATGATATTTGGAGACCCCCTGACCATTCTTAATCACCTATTGCTGCAGGGCTACCAGCTGTTGGCCATGGAGTTGGAGGCATAAGAGTATCAAACATGTCTGGGTGATGAGAACAAGCAGCACCCCAGAGGTACTAACTCTACGATGACTGCCCTCAGCAAACAACCACCCGCGTTTCCTGGTAGATTGGATAGAAGGAGAGGGAACGGCTGATGCTGTGGTGATGGGAAAGGATCAGGGGATTTAAGCCTTAGGGAGCTGGCTTGGTTGCACCTCGAACAACGTTTTGCCAAGTCCCAGTGGCACCTGACAGTTCCGCAGAGACTGGACAGTGAAGTGAAACAGGCAGATATTCCAGGACATGACCAGCCTCCCCCCAGCTTTTTCGGGTCCCCCAAAGATGATCGACATCTCCCAGGTCAGCACAAGGTAGTCTCGAGAATGCAGCATCCTCATCCCCGCCTCACCTGCTACCCCTTTCTAACTCCTCAGCTTTTTATAATAAAAGGGAGGAATAAAAGGTACTCAGGCACCTGTACTGGCCAGACCTTGGGGTCCTGACACGATACATACTCAGTTGCAGCTACTGAGAACACCTTCTATGTGCCTACATTCCCTTTAAGAAGGTGGGCCTTGCCCAACCACATTGCTCTCTGTTCTTTCTCTCTCTCTCTCTCTCTCTCTCTCTCTCTCTCTCTCTCTCTCTCTCTCTCTCTGTGTCTCTCTCTCCCCCCCCTCTCCCCCCCTCTCTCTTTCTCTCCCTCTCCCTCTCTCCTTCTCTGCCTGTCTCTCTGTTTCTCTCCCTCTTTCCCTTTTTCTCTCTCTCTGCCTCTCTCTTCTCTTTTGCTACTCCTGTCCCCAGAGCCGGTTTCCCTCATCTCCTCCCCATTTTCCCATTTCTTTTCCCTTAATAAAAAAAAATCCCTCTAGCTCTGTTGAATGGTGTCTTTCTCTTTATTTTTATTATTTTTTAAAAAATACACCAGTATCATTTTAAAATGCGGTGTCTTTTGTATTCCAATGTCACTCGACTGTAGGCTCCTATATAATAAAAAATATATTAAGTACTTTCTTACTTCAAGAAGGAAGAACCAGGGCACAGTCACAAAGTGAAGCAAAGCCAAACTCCAACCGTAAATAACTCAGAATCCACTGTCTAGGATGGACTTACAATTTTCTGTTCTCCACAACACACACAGCTTCCTTCTAGGCTCCATCTGCCTTCTATTCCGCTGCTGCCGTTGATATGGCAGTCATCCCATGGGACTGGCACCTCCAAAATTCTTGGATCTCTTGCTGCAACTGGGCTTCACTTTCAGCAATAGCCTCTCAGAGGCTCTTCTCATGGTGCCAAGCCTCTCTTTAGGACATCTCCAACCTTGGAGCTTCATCGGCTGCTCTGACTGTAACTTCACCAACGACCTCTCTTGGCCTCTCACAGTGACAGGCTTCAGCTGCTCTCCACGACCCCTTCATGCCTTGAAATCCAGTACCACCTGGGAGACTCTTGCACAGTACCAACTGCAGCTTCCAGAAGATACAACGTAGGCTGGCTGTATCAAGTCTTTCTCTGTACCACCAGCTTCCTAGTAATAATACAAAGACTTCTTATTAATTACGAAAACTCAGTCTATAGCTTAGACTTGTTTCTAACTAGCTCTTATAACTTCAATTAATTTATATTAACCTATGTTCTATCATGTAGCATCACCTCTCTTTCATCTTGCATCTCCTGCTGCTTCTCCACGTCTCCTTTCTTCTTCCCAGAATCCTCCCTGCTCCCAGAAATGCGGCCTGTACCCCATGCCCAGTTAATTAGCTTTTTACTACACCCATCAAAGAAAAGACATCTTAACACAGCTTACAGATATCCCAAAACAACAGCCCACCTCTAGAACACAGCTTCTGTGTGTTACCTCTCAGGGACCACTTCCTAAACTACTTCACCTCAAAAATGGTGATCTGTTCTTAATCACAGTTGATTCTTTAGCCCAAGTTGACCAGCATCCCTTGTCTATGCCAAGCAAAGATTTTACTTTAGCGGTTTTGGTCTCTTGTTCATCACAGCCAATTCTCTAGCTCCAGCTGACCAGATGCCACAGATTCTTTGACAAATGGTCTGGTAAGACTCTTTGCTTTCCTCTGAAACCTCGCAAGCCAGACCTCCATCATCTGTACTTCTCTTAACATTATTATCCTTCCAAGCTCTTACATTCCACTGAGTTCTTGTTGCTCAATGACTTCTCTAGCCCATAGTTTCAAAGTTCTTCCATAATCCTCCCCCAGACAATTTGGTCAGGTCTGTTACAGCAATACCCCACTCCTGGTAACAACGTCTGTCTTAGTTAAGGTTTCTATTGCTGTGATAAGATACCATGACTGGAAAAAAAAACCTAGGGGAAGAGTTTATTTGACTTATGCTTCATCACTGAAGGATGTTAGGGCTGGAACTCAAACAGGGAAGGAACCTGGAGCTCAAACAGGGAAGGAACCAGGGGCTTATCTAGAGACTATGGAGGGGTACTGCTTAATGGCTTGCTCCCTGGCTTTTTCATTCTGCTTTCTTATAGAACTAAGGACCACCAGCCTAGGGGTGGCACTACCCACAGTGGGCTAGGCTCTCCCAGATCAATCACTAAGAAAATGCATTACAGACTTGTCTGCAGCCCAATCTTATGAAGGCATTTTCTCAACTTAGGCTCCAACTCAGATAACTGTAACTGGAATCAACTTGACATGAAACTAGCCAGCATATTGCCCATATATGGGAAATCTAATATCATGGAGTAGTTCTATTAGAATTTACAACTTTATAAATTATAACTTTAAGTCATTTAAAAAATGACTTAACACATTGTGTACTTACTTTGGTCTGACTTACTTTGCTCAACACTATACCAATGTGCCTAGTCCATATTTTCCATGTATTTGCATAACAGTTGAATGGAAACAGCATATTTTATTTACTTACTGTGTTGCGTTTGGAGCCTTTATAGATGCTTCTACCATAAACATCTGGTGACTATCTTTTAGTGAACACACACATGCATTTGTGTTTATTATATGCCAATCAAATAGAATTTATCAACGAGCAAATAGGAACATATTTGTAGACAGTCTAGTAACAGTTCAAAGTAACTTTGCCAAGCTTTACTCCTATTGGCAGTATATCAGAATTATGACTGATCCGTGTATTTATTAATACTTAGTATATCAGTTTTTTCATACTGGCCTTTTGTAATAAGTATGCAGCATTATTATATAGAAATCACATATGTGATTTTTCAAACAAATTTATTTGTTGAACATAGCTTAGAGTTTTTTAAACCAAGATTCAGAAGTTTGAAGGTACAAATAAGCTGTCTAGTTTTTTCTTCTCTGGAAGTTGCAAGCCTACTATTTGCTAGCAACCTTGTAAACAGGGATTGGCTATTTCCAAGGGCTGTGGAATAGAATTGGGTGGACAGATCACCACGAAACCATCAAAAGACCACAAAAGCTCTGTGATTTTGGTGCCTCTAAGGAATTTGCCATTATATATTTAGTATAAGAAATCCTGGTCATATTAGTGTATTTGTTTAGCATCAAGTGTGAGATTAGCTGCCAGAGTTTTACCATTTCCTGTATTTCTGATCTTGCCCAAGTTTTTTAGCTTCTGTGTCTCAGTTTCTTGATATGTAAAATATAGGTGATAATAGTATCCACTCACAGGATTATCATGAATATTAAATGTGAATTAAATAAGTTACATGTTCCTAAACTAGTGACCAGCATATGATAGTTATTATATAAATGTTTATCATTGTTTTCTATTACTATGCCAGAAAACTGCATTATACCACTGAAAATTAATCTACAATTCTCAAAAATGTGGTAACATATGTAGATTCCATCTTTTCAGGGAATTTTGTGGGCAAGGGAGGAGAGTTACCAGCCTGGGAACAGAGGGATTACCAAGTTGACTGCGCTAAAAAATCTGGACTCTCTTACATCAGTGAGATTCTCTAACACTGAAATGGGGCCAGAAATCAGATTTTAGAATCAGTAGCATAGTTTACTTAGGATTGCCAACTTTTTAACCTTGTGACGCCATGCCTGTTTCCAAATTTAAAAATGAAATCGCCCACAAAATAGCCTCCAAGGGGAACTTGCCAAGGATTCAACTGGGAAATAAAGGTGGGTATAGCCAACCAGTTCAGTGTGGTTGCGCTGTTGACATAAATCTGCTGAAAAATAGGAAATAGAGTCCAAAATATCTTAAATGATGAAGAAGCATTGGCCCTCAGGAAATAATAAAACTTTAAGAACATTTAGATCAGTCTTTAAACTCTATTTCACTGAACCCATTTCAGCGAGATCCTCTCGCATGCCTTGAGACGACTGAGCAGTACAGCAGCGGCAACAGCGGCGTGTTTCCCAATTCACACCTAAGGACAGAAAGAATATTGTTGACCTCAGCCGTTAACCCAAGGCCTAGGCAAGTGTTGCAGTGAAGAAGATGGAAACGATCAAAATGATCTAAGCAAACAAGGCACAGCTGGCGTGAGGGCTAGGGTACGGCACACCCAGGTCTCAATGGTGCTGTGGTTGCAGAACTGTAAAATAAGTTGGGTCTGGGTGGGGACAAAGATGACGTTCCTTAGAGGGAGTCACAGCAGAGGGTGTGGGGGATGGAGGAGGAAAGAGTAGAATTTAAGGACTAAATACTGTAAAGGAAACAGGGAGGAAAAGCAAACAAAAGGGTCCTGTATGATCATACATGCAAGCACTCATTTACCCTTCTCCGAAGATGATTTGGCAATCATCTTCCAAACAACCATGGGAATGGGAGGAACTCACCACTCCGCGGACCATGTTAGTTTATCACTATGTAAAACATGCAGGCTGTGTATAAACTATAGGCAGAAACGTTGTTACCTTGATGAGCACTGTGAAAAGCAATAGATTTATTTAAGAGTGGGCAAATTGGCTTTTAGAGTGGAATAAGCCTGAATCCAGTTTTCAGCTGAAGTTCTGTGTCGTTATTCACAGGGTTCTCTGTGTTCTGACCTCCCTGCTACTCCCCATCTTTCCACTCAGAAAACTCCCACACATCCTCAGCTCTCAGTGTAAAAGCAAGCTTTTACATAAAACACTCCCGGGTTTTTTCCAAGGAGGGGTAGACTTTTTGTCAGTGAATTAATATTATTGAGTAGTCAATGCTATTAGTACTAAGCACATACCAGTTACTACCATAAGCCCTTTACAAAAGTCAGCCAAATATACATAATGGCCACAGTAATCATACCAGGTAATAAACAGTTCTTATTTCATACATAAGCAGTCATGCTACTTTTAAAGGATTACAAAAATAGTCTATAAAATACACATTTTGTGAAACCTTTTAAAATTTTTATTTATTTTATGTATATGAATATTTTGCTTGTACATATGTATGTGTGATGTGGGATTTCCTTCTGTATGCTGTGATTATCACTGGTTAATAACGGAACTGCTTTGGGCCTATAACAAATCTAGGTGGGGAAAGCTAAACTGAATGCTAGGGAAAAAAAACAGCAGAGTCAGAGAGAAGCCATACAGCCCCACAGGAGACAGATGTCGGAGCTTTACCTGATAAGTCACAGCCACGTGGTGATACATAGATTAATGGAGATGGGTTAAATTAATATGTAAGAGTTAGTAAATAAGAAGCTAGAGTTAATGGGCCATGCAGTGATTTAATTAATACATTTTCTATGAGAGTATGCCAGGGCTAAGTGGCCAGGAACCAACAAGCAGCCTTCTCACTACAATATGTGTACTATGTACATACCTAATACTTGTGGCAGCAAGAAGAGGTCTTTGGAGTCCTTGCAACTGGAGTTACAGACACTTGTGAGCACCACGACAGTGTTGGAAACCAAACTAGGTCCTCTTTCATTTAAGAAGAGGTCCCATACTTTTAGCTGCAGAGCCAATCCAGCCACAATAGAAATTTCAGCTGGCAAAGAGAAAACTTGAGGATGTGTAACCTAGGTTCATCTTGACCACAAAAGGATTAGCTAAGTGAAGAAAACCTATTTGCCTAAATAAATTTTTATATACACTCCCAAAGAAGTACATAAGCTTGTCAGAACGTGAAGGAACCAGGATGAGGCCATGCATCAAAAACTCAGTGAAAAATTGCAGATGATCCAACTAAATCTAACCACATAGAAAAATCACACAAAGCCTTTTCAAAGAGGCCCAAGGAATACCTTTTGAAAGGCTTAATAATTATTAGTCACTCAGAAAAAAAAATAAAACAACTTGTTACAACAGGTGGTATGTTCTAAGTTCACTATGCCCAAAGGGATAATTCATGATACATTAAGTATCAAGCAAACAGATTTAAAATACTACTTCCATTCAAAATAATTTAGAGTTACTGGAAAGTCCATGCATTATCCCTTCCCCCTAACGTCTGCTCCATTTTCAGGAGTGGATGAATCAGAGCCCTGAAGCCATTGTGGCGTTTCTTTTCTTCTTGTTTGATCATTTGGAAGTTTGAAAGCCTAACCCTCTTGCCTACAACATGATACCTGTTTTACCTTCTCCATGATAC